TTACTGATGAATCTTTGTTGTTGTCAAAACAGCCGTATTTTGTGACTTTTTCATGTCTTCTTTTTCACACAGAGTCATATGTAAAACCTTATTTTTCTACTCAAGAAACCAACTTAATTCATTTTATCAACATATATAAAGGCATTTACAATGATGAAAGTTGGTGTTGGTGGACGGTGGACGGTGGTGGGCGTGAAGATGGAGGTGTTCGTCGGCTCCTTTTAAAAATGGGTAGTCAGGCAACAAATAAGTCTCTGGCATGTTTACCTTCTCAGGGAAGTTATCTCAAATTGCTGTTTTGCTCCCTTATTTTCTTTATCTTAATAATTTTTTTCAACTATATTCAGAAAAAATACAATGACGAATTTTTGATAAGATTGATTTCATTCTTTCATCCATGATCACTCTCTTAATAGCAACCACACTAGCCAGAAAGATCTTGCTGAAAAATAATTCATCTGCTGAGAACCGTTTCTTTTTTTTTTTTTTGTCAGAATCCGGAGTACCATTCTCAGCCATACGTTTTGGGGTCAGGTAAAAAAAAAATAAAACTAAAGTATTTGACATTAATATACAAGAAATTATCAGAAAAGTCTTCATATTTTAGGAAAAATTACACTTTAATCCTAAGTTTTTTTAATATAAAAGTCTCGATTATTTTATTTTGACTCAAATTAACAAAAAATTTATTTTTTTCTTTTAACAAGAAATGACATATTATCGTGTTTTTTCAAATAATCGGGTCTTTTATGTTAAAAAAACATGGGAGTAAAGTGTAACTTTTCGGAAAATATTAGAACTTTTCTGACAATTTTCCAACATACAATTTTTTAAATCACCGTTCTAATTATATATTCTAATTAGAGGTATAATTGAGTCGAGTCAACTTGTAAGATACTCGAGACCGACTCGAAAAATACTCGAACGGTTCAAGTCGAGTCGAGCTATTTCAAGTATATATATATATATATATATATATATATATATATATATATATATATATATATATATATATA